ATTTGGATGTGTAGTGAAAGAGAAGATAATGAAAGACAACAGAGAAACCAAGGGAACATCCATCCACTTTCGAGAAAAAAAATCAAGTCATATTGATCTTCAATCAACCTCAAGTCATATGTAAATCTTGTAAGAATGAGTAAGACTTTTTCTCAAAAAGAATTAACAAGAAAAAAATTATGTACTTTTGCTTCTTTACATATAAAAAATTTCGAAACAGCCTCCCTACCCTCGCAAAGGTAGGAGTAAGATTTGTATACATCCTACAGGCATGTTGTTGTTTGCTTCTTTACATAGAACTTCCTTTATGTTCCCTTTCAACGTGTTCCACAAGGGCAACAGGATCTCGAAAACCTTTACTACACCTCGGGCAGACATCGATTGTCATGTTCATAACACCATTCTTCTCGTGTACTTTCTGCACGTGGTCGATGAGAGCTCTAACTGTAGAAAATCTTAGATGACATTGTGGGCATGGCTCTACTTGACTGCTGTTGTTAGTAACACTGTGGTTGGTGGCGCGGCTGCTTTGCCCTGTCTGCTGTGGTTGATTAAATTCACTGTTGAACTTCTCCTTTACCGATGATACTACCTTTAAAAGGCTCGTGGTCCACCTTGAGGTCGATGTGGGCTGAGCTTTCTTCGAATCTTCTTTACTTCCATTCAGAAAGTTCATGAACTGGAAAGTAGATTCTGGTTTCTTAGGTCCAGGGCAGCTGTGATCAGGTCCAAACCGGTGCTTCAAGCAATGATCGACAGTACAATCCCGACATTTAATTGTGTTGGAGAAAGTCAAGAGCTCTTTGCAGCGAGGCACAGGACATTTTTTTTTCTTTGTGGCTTTCTCATAGTTCGATGGATCACACTCGGTGTTCACATGCGATTCCCAAGTTATATTTGGGTCTTCAACAGGATTTAGGCGTACCCCTTTTGCACAGAGCGGGCAAATGACCACTGTAACATTATTCTTGTTAGCCGTTGGACACTGATGTCTAATATAGCTTCGATGATCTAAACAATACACCTGCAAAGAAGTATTGTATGTTAACACAATCAGTGTCGGAAATTATTCCCAATTATGTTACGAATAAACAAAGTTGAGTCCATCATACAGAATATCATCGACTTGCAGTTCGTTCCTAACAGATTTAAACATATACTCAACCGAAAACCACTATCATAGAGACAGCAAAAGAGATATCTGGGATTAGAACCAGTACATACATCTCAAAACTCAATCCTTTTTTCAGATTCATGTCTTAAAAAGATAGCAATTCTTATTTCAACCATTAACAATCTATAAAAGAAACTAAGATATTATACCAGATCACTGAGACCCATAACTCGTAAGAGCAAGGAAGCAAGGACATCTCCACTTAAAGTAGTCAATATTCTTTTTGATAAAAACAAGAAAAAATGTCATTTAAAGCTTATTACTTCAGAGAGAAAGTTTCTAAAACATAAGCAGAAGTGCAACCAGTATATACTAGTCGGAATGTTGAAAATGAAAGAAAATTGTGATTCTGGCAATGCTTCATCGGTCTAGCCTATATAGAACCAATACGGGCTATTCAAGTTTAGAATAACTCCTGATATCTCCATTCTGAAAGCCACATTACAAGTTCGGAAACATTAAGCTTTAAAATTCAGAATAAAGACGGAACAACAGAGGTAAAAGTTTAATCAACCATGTGAGGCACATCAACTACTGGTACTCCGAGATGCACATTACACGAGATAATCATGAAAATACTAAGACCAATAGTTCAATATTCGAGACTTCATCCTCTCTTGTTGTATCATACGAACAATTGATTGCAAGCTTCTATATACAATAAATGATTTTATCTTTTTCCTTTCCTTTTTCTGTAAATTTTTTTTATATGGTAAAATCCCAACCCCCAAACTCTCCTACCGAGGAGCCGAAAAAATGGTCCTTTCCCACTTTGCTACTTGAATCTCAACCTTATTGTTGGAGGTAGAGGGAGGTCTACTGGACAATACACCTCCCTAATCACTGGATTGTTTATCTTCATCAACTGTTTCCATCTCTACCTAATGCATTGCTACATAATTCCTCATCGACACAGCGGACAGCTGCTGCACTTCGACTTATATGTAACTTAGATAGTATGGAAGGAGGAAATGCATAAAATGCTCAAAATAAAACAAAATGTGTCATATCTTCGCTCCTAGGCTTCAACTCAACTTTGTCATGTTCTTGATTACTCAATCCTTCACGCTTTCTTTAATCCAATTTCTCACACACAGAAAATCTTCAGAAAACATCAGGATTATAATTTTTTTCCTCCCACACCCTGACCCCCACTCCCACCATTACCAGACAACTATCCCAAAAAAAGGTTCTTTTTCCTATGCACCAAAAAGATTTAAACTTTGATACAAACCTAGGTAAAAAACCAATCCTGCTTCATACACATACACTTGAAAATGGTCCTTTTCCACTTTGCTAGTTGAATCTCAACCTAATGATTTGAGGAGATGGTTTGAAGTGGAAAGTGTTAACTACTAGACTATACCTCCCTTTCACTACTGTTCAAATTTCAATATCTGATAAAAAAGGGCAGCTTGGGGCACTAAGCTCCAACTACGGGGAAGGGAAGGACTACAACGATCTGTTGTACGCAGTCTTACCCTGCATTTCTGCAAGAGGCTGAAATTTCAGTATCTGATCACCTCATGAAATAGCATAACATGCTCAACATTAAACAAAATGTGTCATAGTTTGGTTCCTAAGCTTCAGCTCAACTTTGTCATGTTCTTGATTACTCAATCCTTCACATTTTCTTGAACCTAATATCTCCAACAAAGCAAAATTCTCAGAATACCCCACCACAACCACAACTACACCATCTTTTTCCAATGGACCAAAAAGATTAAACCTTTGATATAAACCCAGATCAAAAAACTCAAAAACAAAAAGTAACTTTTATCCCTATCACCCCCACATCAACCAAACAACTACACCAACAAAATGTTCTTTTTCCTGTGGACCACAAAAGATTGAAACTTTAATAAAACCCCAGATCAAAAAACTAAAAAAAACAAGAAAGATTTCAACACAACTGAAAAAAAGACAGTGAATCCATGTATAAAAGGAAAAAAAAGTTAATTTTTCTCCCGTGGACCAAAAAGATTGAAACTTTATCACACCCCAGATCAAAAAACTCAAAACCAAGAAAGATTTCAACACAAAATTAACAAAAAGACAGTAAATCAATGCACAAAAGAAAAAAAATTGCACAAATGGTAGAGAGGGAAAGAAAGGGGTACCTTGTAACAGCAATCACAGGTAAAAGGCAAGAAATCAATCTGCCTACAATCCTCAACAGAACAATGCTTCCCAAGATTTGAGAATTCTGGTGTACCCATTGAATTGATAACTTTGTAAAACAACAACAAGAAAAAAGGGGAAAAAATTGAAATTGATAATTTGGGAATTTAGGTAATGGGGTTTCTTTGAAATTCTTGAGGAGACAATAGGATAGACAACGCTGGAATTGGAGAAAGATTCAAACGTTGTCTCTCCTAACTTGCCTGGCGAATGATGACTTTTCTACTATTTGTATCTTGTTCTTTTTTTTCTTCCTATATTTTTGCGTATTGAAAATAACTAAATACGTCCATATTTATAATAGTAAGAAACCGAATTAAATTAGGATTAGAAAACAAATTTGTATATGAAATAAATAAATCCTAATTAGATATTAATTAATTAAATAACAAATTCTAAACAATTTAGGAATCCTACTCCAACTTTAAATTATTATTCTAATAATTTTGATTATTTTTTCGTAAATTATAATTGAAGAATGGTGAATATTAGATACAGTTTCAAACACTAGAATGTCCTTATGACGTAATAATTTATGTGGTTTGTAACTGCATTGAAGTTAGATAATTTAGATTTCCATTTAGGAAAAAACGCTTCTTATAGAGGATTTTTTTTATATCTAAAACTTGAACTTGAAACCTCTTGAGTAATGAAGGAGCAATAACACTACATTCTTTGATGATATATAATACTCCATATAACTATGATAGTATCAAATAATTACGAAACGTATTTCGATTTTTTTGAATTTTGTAGTAAATACACTATGCACATGCATGTTGATATAATACACTATACACATACTATTTTTTTGCGGAACATTTAATAGTTACCACCATTCATATAATAATAGGAATTATTTTTGATACTTTACATTTGTCAGCAAAGTTTTTAAATTCGTATCAAATACCTTAGAATAAAATAAGATACAAGAGAGAAGTATTAAACAACTATAATATTTAGTATATGTGGTTTACATGTTACAATAGCTATCAGTTATCAGGAGGATGGTTTGTCTGTTCTTTTGCTTCCTATTTGGTGTTCGGTACTTATTTTATGATTCGACTAATTCAAATTCGTGTTAAAAATTTTTACTTTAGGAATTAAACATTTTCTATTAAAGGTGATTCTATTCTCAGAATTAGAACTCGAAATCTTTGATTAAGTATATAGGGATACTTGTTCCACTAGAAACATAGGTTTTTCCCACCCTATTCCTACCGAACTAGCTCACTCGAGAAATACATAATGGGAAACAAACCTTTACTCCACTTGTCAAAGTGTCTAAAATTGCCTCTGTTACATATAGTTGTTGTATGTTTGAACCTCTTGTTTGGTTTGTGTGAAAAAAAAAAAAAAAAACAGTTCTTTCATTCATTAGTAAGCCTTGGTTCTGTAATATTGACCTATATACGTAGTATAATTTTCCAACGAAGGGTGTTCAACTGACCACTTCTCTGCCATTATAGCCCCGCGGCTATTTGATTGTAAAAATGACAAAAATACATAGCAAAACAAGAAGAGATCCATTTCCATTACTCCACTTATCAAAGTTTCTAACAATCTTTGCACTAAACTCAAATCATAAATTGGTAACATATAGTTGTATGTTTGGACCTCTTGTTGTTTGTTTGTGTGAAAAAAGAAAAAAAAAACAGTTGTTTTAGGCCTTGACAGGTTCAGTGGTAAGTCCAAATCCAAAAGGGAACAAAGGGTCATAATGTGAATCACCAACATTCATAGGGAGTTGATCAACAGTCTTGAACCAAGTCCTTGCTAGTTTTCCAGTAAAACCATAATCACCAAACAGGACATCAGCTACACCTTGTCCTTCTGTTCCTGGTAACCAAGCTGCTACAACTGCATCCATTTGAGCTAGGTATGGTTGGATCACAACCGGACGCCCTGTGAGAAGCACAACGACACATTTCACCGAGGCACAAACCGTGGTCATGATGTCTGGACCAGGCGCGGGGATTGTTAAGTTTAGGCTGTCACCCGAACCTTCCGCGTATGGGGTCTCTCCCACCACGACTATGGCATAGGAGAAGTTGTTGGACTTGACGAATTCGCTGTCCGGATTTTCCTTATACACAACCTTTGTTTCTGGATCAACTGTGTTCTCTATGGCTGAGAGGATTGTAGTACCTGTCCAAAAAAAGTTGCTAATTGATTAGTGTACAATATTGTTGTACTCTTTCTTAGGTAGGTTTACCAATAGGTCATAGCCTGACTCGTTCAACTCAAATTCGGACATATAAGTTCAGGGTTATGTTGCTTAGACTTCATAGAAAATGTTGTTGTGCATGTGTTGGATCCTTAAAAGATGCACGACTTTTGGAGTATCAAACATGCACATATCGACATTTTTGAAGAGTCTGAGCAACGTTGAGGGATTAGAAATGTACCAATTGTTGTGTTTCCGCTAAGTCCTTGCCATGTAATGGTCCATCCACCACATTGGTATCCCATATTGTTAGCATGGGCTCCTGCAACTAATATATTTGTTGCTTTTTTTGGAAGTGGCAAAACTGGTTCATCTGCATTTGCTCCATTTTTCAACAAAACAAGTGACCTTCTCACTGCTTCTCTTGCCAATTCTCTATGCTCCTACAAGATTGTAACACAACAAAGATGAATTCAAGATTTTACCTTTTCCGAGTTTATAACTTGTTATCTCATCTAGGAAAAACGATCAAGAAATTGAGCATCTTTGTCCTTCATTTGACCTTTTGGTTTAGTTTTACACCTATCGTTAGAAGAAAGTCTCGGTTTTTCCCTTGACCCCTAAAGGAGCTCCAACGTAAGGACATGTGGAGTCTGTCATCTTATGTTGGAGCTCCGTTAATTGCAATGAGAAGTACGAGACAATTGGTAACGACAAGAGTATGAACGGGCAAAACATGTAAAGGGAGGAAAACTCGAACAATTTTAAACATTTTCCCTATCATTTATCGCTACACATTGAACTTACAGGGCATCCAAGATATTTCGTCAAACTATAATCAGCAAGAGGGTTCTCAAAGAGTCCCATTTGGAACTTCACCCTGAGAATTCTCTTGACTGCATCATCGATTCGAGTCATTTGAACAAAGTTGTTGTTCACTAAATATGTTAAACCATCAATGAATTCTGTATAGTTGTAAGGCAACATAACCTGCAATATATAAGAAGGAAAAGAGCAAGCCTTAGTTCTTTACAGGTCATGTAAATCAAGTCGAAACTCGTTCTTCATGTTGTAAAATCGTGTGATAGTACGAGACAGATTCAAAATTTAAACAGCTATTACAGATATCGTTGATTCGCCCACAACGTGCACAAATTATAAAATGGATATACATTTTGATATAAATTGATTAGTTACTAACCATGTCAATGCCAGAATTGACACCTTCAAGAATGGAATATGTATAGTTTGTATGCCAAGGATAAGTAAGCTTATCAATTCCTGCCCAATCTGAAATAACAAACCCCTGAAACAAATTCCACAAACATTCACAAAGTTAGTTCGAAATCCCCATCTTGTTGCATCCTACGTTGCTCGGATCCTCCAAAAATGTCATCACAATCATCTCGAACTTCCAAAACAATTGCATTTTTTGAAGGACCCGAGCAAACTTCATAATGTTAAATTTGAAATCCCATCTAGTTGCATCCTATGCTGCTCGAGTCATTCAAAACTGTCATCGCACTAATGTCAGATCCTCCAAACTTTTTGAAGAATTAGACACGAGTGCGACAATACTTTTGGAGGTTCCGAGTTATATAGGTTGCGTCTATTGAACACTATAATGTTGCTCGGATCCTCTAAAATGTTTGAAGAATTAGACACAGGTGCAACAATACTTTTAGAGGTTCCATGAGCAATATAGGTTGCATTTTTAAACACTAAAATGTTGCTCGTATCCTCCAACAACGTTTCCACACCGTGTCAGATCCTTCAAAAATATTGTCGCACTTCCAAAACAGTGCGACAACATTTTTGGAGGGTCTAAGCAACATATGTTGCATCTATAAACACTACAAAATGTTGTTGTATCCGTATCAAATACTCCAAAATACATGTATTTTTGAGAATCCGACATGGATACAACAATATTTTTGAAGGGTCCGAGCAACATACAGGTAGTTAAATTCACGAAGAGAGGAAAAAATTAGGAATTTACTCTGAATCTAAGTGTGCCTTTAAGAAAACCAGTAACCATTTCTTTATTTTCATGCATTCTGAGACCATTCCAACTTGAATAGGAAACCATAACAGTAGAAACACCTTTGATGATTGAACTATAGTAACCTGCCATATGTATACTAAGCAAACCATGTCTATCAATAATTGTATTGTTTTCATTGATTCCTTTTACTGTCCCACCATCTCCTACATAATGCTTAGCACAAGCAGCCACCTTTTGCCTGTAACAAATAACAGTGACGGAGTCAGAAATTTCGTTAAAACACATTCGAGGTTAGTAACAACGCAACAACAACATAGTGTTCAAGGTTTACCAACAACAACACACGCGTTTGAGGTTTAGCAACAACAACAACATACGCGTTCGAGGTTTAGTACAAGTGTATAAAATGTATTTTTTGACTTATATATGCAGAGTATAATTTTTTGATAAAAGGTATTCAACTGACTGTCTTTCGCTCTATGTAGCTATCTATGTACATCATTGTATAGGGATAATACATAGATGCTACATTAGGCCTCAAACTTGTTTTGAAGTTTAATTATACACTTAAATTTGAAAGGTGATAAAAGACGAGTCTAGAATTTAGACTTGATGAATTCAATCTTCAAGGTTGGTACTTTTTACGACTTTTGAACACGTTGTACTTCATCCTAGGAAGTGTCTGACACTTGGCACTCACAATGCAACACGTGTCGTAACATAACCAGACACGTAAAAACACCATACACACATCACACCCACATTCTACAACAACAATAAGATACGATCTATAATTTTATAAGTAGTGTCTGGAGAGGTCAGATGTATGCCGACGACACCCGCATTCTATATATTTAATTAATTGTTACCTTCCAACATTATATACATATAAATTTTAAATTGAAGAATAATGTATTAGGTAGAAATCTTGTGTTTTTATATTACACATCACCTTCTTTTTTTTTTTGATTTCTAATAAGTGGAAAAGTGGTCCATGTGACTAAGTCTATGTCATGCTACAAAAGCCCATAAAACAAAAAAATGTCTGTGTGTCACAATTCAAATGGACCAAAAATTTGAAATTTTTGCACCTAGTTTGTTTCACAATTATTGTCTTTTTCTTATTGGCTCTATGTATCATAATCACATGCATCACAAAAACCATATCCTATGCTATATATACCAAATAGTTCCAAATCACATGCCTTACTTTTAGAAATCAGTTACCCCACTTTTTTTTCAAAAAAAAAAAAAAAGCACTAAAAAAGTAGGAATAGTTATCAATAACTTTTGTCATTAAATAATAAAAAATTATTTTATTGATGCTAATTTTATTTAAAGATGGATTAATATAAATTATCAAAAGATTATATTAGTTATAAATTGTTTAGCAAAATATAAATATTGAATTTCGTATTTAATTTTATTTACTTATTTATTATGGTGAAGTTAAAAAAATCCGTCAATGATAATAAAGGAGGAGAGTTAGATAGGTGGAAATCAGGCCAAAACTAAAGAATCTCTTGGCAAGAAAATTACATTATATATCAGGTTGAACATTTTTAATAAAAAATTAGTATGACTTTATATTTATAACAATCAACATAAAACTAATTAATCTATAATGAATTCTTGTTGGATATTAGAAAAAAAATACAAGAATAAAAATTTACACATATACTTTAATTTATTTGAGACTGAAGTGGAGTAATTATAAAAAGTAATCTCCACCTTCTTCCAAATATATATATATATATATATTATATGACAAGAAATCCAATAAAGTAAAAAGAAAAATGCTGACTTAATTAATCATTATTGTATGCATGTGGGTTGAAGAAATCATTGAATTCAAGGTTATGGACTTTTATGAAAATCCATGTTAATTATGCCAAAAATATCTTTTGTGATCAAATCCACATCATGATTAATTATGAACTAAATAATTTAAATAGTGCACACACTACATGAACCAAAAGTGAAATAGTAGCTAATAATATGTTCTTAATAACAAATAATGTCAACATTAATTAAACATAGATAGATCAAGAAACTTGTAGAATAGGTATTGGTGGTCTAACTTATATGTGAACTAAAACTACAAAATGAAGTCATTTTTTATCCTCTTGCTCCGCCCCGGACGGCTACAAGTTAATTAAGCGAGTGAATTTTACTTTTTATCGATCAACTAAAAATATTATCAGTACATATAAATTAAATTTCGAAGGAAATAAAAAGAACTTACTTGTTGGCAACAAAAGGGACTCCTAATCTACCATTAGAAGGAACATCTCCTTGTAATCCAGGTACCATTTCACTCATTGACCTAACAATATTTGGATCTTCACTATAACTCTCATAACATCTGCCCCATCTTGGATCTCTGCAAACCTAGATCAACAAATTTTAAATTATTAATACTGTATAAAAAAAAAAATTAATTATATAAATTGACGTGTATGAGATTCTTTTAAAGTTATGTACTTTTGAAGAATCTGTGCATCATAATTTAACCTATGATGATCGGTTACTAATTATTTTCACCAAGTTACCAACCTAGCTATCAATGCATAAAATATAAATCCATAATAGAAATCTCAATTCAAGGGAATTAAGTCAATTTATCAAAAATTATGGAAGAAAATTAATTTTGTTTGTTTTACATCCAACATTCGGTACTTATTTCAGAATCTGACTAATCCAAAATCGCAAAGGAAGTCTCATTTTATGGGGTAATGCACTCCCTATTAAAGATGATTTTATTCATATGACTCGAACCAAAAACATGTGGCTAAAGATGAAGCGGGTATTAATCAACTCACTACAACATTAGGTGGTAAAAAACTGTTTTTTTTATAAAAAAAAATTGTTGAAGAAAATCTATATTGTTTGGACTTCCCAAAGATGTTATCACATTTGTGTCAAATTCTTTAAAATGTATTACTTTTGAAGGTTTTAACATGCAACTGGTGATATTTTAAAAATATCCGAGCAACGTACGTAGAAGAAAAATACTAGTAGTTGATGGAACATTACCGCAAGACAAGGTGCAAAAACATATGGAATTCCAGTTGCTCTAGCTTCTAATGCAGTTGCAGATCCAATCCTCTTGACCAATTGAGGATCCCTATTAATTAACCAAAAATAATTGATAAAAAATTAGCTAATCATCAATTTATGATAAAAAGAAAAAAGAAAAAAAACAAGTTTGATGCATAAAATATTTCATATTGATTTAAAGCTAAGTTAGAATTTCAAGTTTATCGGTTTCAGACGATAGAAAAGACAGCTTATTGGATTCTGAATAAACTAATCAAGGGTCTAGACTAAAGCTATTAGTTTCAGCCGAACACATAGGGTCATACCTAGCTAGGGGGTGTAATTAATGTAGACAACTTATTCTGATGTAACACGTGATCCATTAATTATAATTTTATCGTTGTTCCAAGACAATTTACCTTATTACTCCAAGAGCAACATTGTGAGGAAAAATTGTAGCTTTATAGACATTGTTGTTGCCATGAACAGCATCAATTCCATAAATCATAGGTATTCCAAGTCTAGTTGATAATGAACCTTTTTGAAAACCATTTATCATATCAATCCAATCTTCTGCTGATGCTTCTTTCTTAGGCACACTTCCTCCACCACTCAACACACTCCCTGCTCATAAAAAAAAGACGGATTCAGGATTTAGAATCAGTAGATTTTATAATAAGTCATATTTATTAAAGGGGTTCAACTGAATTCATTTTGTCAAAAAATTATACCGTGTATAAAGATAAATTCACATAGCAAATTATTGAAAAATGGTCATTTACATGTATAACGAATTTAGGATTTAGAATTAGTAGATTCGGTAAAAAAATGATCATATTTATCAAAGGAGTTTAACTGTATTGTTTTGTTGAAAAATTACACTATATATACAGGTGAATTCACATAGCAAAGTATTATAAAATGGTGACGGTTTCAGGATTTAGAAACAACCCATGGCATCTAGTGGTGAGACCATATTTATCAAAAAGGGGTTCAACTGAATCCACTTTACTAGGAAATCGATAACATCACATAACAAATTATTTTTAAAAATTGACTCTTTTGTATGTTTACAGGCTATAGCAAGGGCAGAACTACAATATTAGGGACGTGTTGAAACTAATTCATCCCGTAACTTCTACTTAGATCTTGTATTTATATTAGAAAATTCATTAAACATATAAAACAACTTGATTATGACACTAGTAACTAAAACGAGCTATGAATTCGATAATAAGTTCAGAACTCATAAACTTCAAATTCTAACACCACCTCTATAACATTAAATTCAGAATTTAAAATCAATAGATCCAACCAAACCCATTCACAAAGCCACATTTACCAAAATGGAGTCCAACTAAATCCCTTTCATCAGAAAATCATAATGCATACATAAACAAACTCAAACAACAAAATATCTTAAAACAAACAGTGACGGATTCAGAATTTAGAACCAGCGGGTTCAACTGAACCCACTGGTCACGTCTACTCTAAATCCGTCACTGTCTGTTTTTTTTTTACCTAGGTAGTACTTGTTCATAACCTTTGGAGTTGCAGCAGTACGATCAATTTGTATCATTTGCCCAATTTTTTCCTCCAAAGTCATTCTTTTCATTAAATCTTTGATTCTTCTGTTTAAGGGCTTGTTTGGATCTTTGTATGTAATGTATTCTTCTGCATTTACAGCTAAAATAATCCAACAAAATAAAACTAGAAAATTTCTCATCAAGAATCCCATTTTGGATCTCCTCTGCATTTTTCCTTCAAGAAAACATAGCCAAAATTAGAAAAATAAATAAAAAAATTTAAAATAAAGTTAAAATTTTGAGTTTATGAGTTCTGAATTTTAAAACAGACAGTCTAGTAGGTTCAAAATAACAACAAACAAAAAAGATATTCCGTGTAATTCCACAAGTAGAATCTGAAAAGCATAGAATATATGCAAATTTATCTCGGAATTTATAAATACAAGTATAGGATAAGAATCAAAACTACTGAATTCTGTTAAACCAGTAAACAGACTTGTAGCTCCGCCCCTTAAATGCAGCCTCCAGAATTTACTTTTTTTTGGTTGATTATCTGAAGATAATTAATATTTTTTTTAAAATTCAGAGCAAATTTTATTTGAAAATTTAGAGAAAACCAAAACAGAGCTAAACTTTAGTAAATTTCTCTTTTTTTTTTCTATTTTCAGCAGAAGAAATGCTAACAATAAAAATATAGAAGAAAATATAATGAATTTTGGAACTTACAGATAAAAAATGCAGACTCTTGAGGATTTTTTTTTTTCTCTTGATTTTCTGAAGATAGATTATTATTTTTTGGGTGGGAGAAAAGTGATTTTTAGTACTGTTTAATATAGTAGTATGTAAGGTTTAAATAGAGAGAGAAGCTATGAATAGTACACTTTTTAAAAGGAGTTATGGATTATTTTTTTTTCTTTTAGCCATTTGGCATTCTAAGTCGTTTGGTTGGAAACAAGTTATTTCAGGATAAATTATTATCCTGGGGCTAACTATCTTGGGATAACTTATCCCACCAGATATATGAGATAACTTATCCCATCACTATAATATAATTGGTGGGATAAGTTATCTCAAATATGACAACCAAACAACATAATTTTTTTTTAATTGTTAAATTAGGTCTTAGGCCTAACTCACACCCCAAAAGTTAGCTCAAAGGGAGGAGGATTGCCCAAGCCTTATAAAGAGTTCACCCATCTCATTAACCACCGATGTGGGGCATTTGTCATTCTTTAACACCCCACCTCACGCCCAGTGCTTAGCATCTGGTGCGTGGGCAATTTTTTATTTTAGGGACCCCAACATTAGGTGAGACGGGCCCTGCTCTGATACCATGTTAAATTAGGTTTTAGGTCTAACTCACACCCCAAAAGCTAGCTCAAAGGGATGAGGATTGCCCAAGCCTTATAAGGAGTCCACCCATCTCATAAACCACCGATGTGGGACTTTTGTCATTCTTTAACACCCCACCTCATGCCCAGTGCTTAGCATCTGGTGCGTGGGCAATTTTGATTTTGGGGGCCCTAACATCGGGTGAGACGGGTCCTGCTCTGATACCATGTTAAATTAGGTCTTAGGCCTAACTCACACCCCAAAAGCTAGCTCAAAGGGAGGATGATTGCCCAAGCCTTATAAAGAGGCCACCCATCTCATTAACCACCGATATGAGACTTTTGTCATTCTTTAACATTTATCCCATCACTATTTCCTTATTCCATCACTATTATTTTTAATTCCTCACACTAAGCGAGCCCTAAGAGTATGTGTCCCACGAGCGAATAATCTTAGTTGGATCGATGTCATGTGACATGGCTTAGTTAAATTTTGTTTTTATCTTTTAAAATGGTAGAATTATTGGTTCAACGTGTCCTTTCCCTTCTAGTTCAAAAGGTTTTTTTAAAAAAATGAAAATCATCTGAGGTTGGATATTTACATTAAAATCCAATTGATTTAAATTTGCACCACATAGCGTTCATTTAGAAAAGTTCCCTACTAAGAGTTTTTTAAAAAAAATTTAAAATTCAAAATTAAAACTCTGATTAAGAAAGGAGTGACTTCAACTACTATACCCTTTTTTTGGTAGTTCTAAAGGTTGCTGAATTAGCTTCATTATATAATATTATTTCTAATAAATCTATGGCTTGATTTATGTAAGAGAAAATGATAAAGGTTGTTGAGAAGAAATATAACAATGTATTTAAGTTCATTAATATGATCTTAAAAAAATATTTTTTGAATTGTTATTAAGCTGATTTGGTCTTTTTTTCACTCTTTTAAATGAGAAGATTGTTTAGGAAAAAAAATTGATGTATGCTATTAATTGACTCGATTAAATTTAAATTTGTACTAATAAATTTACCAAAAAGTAAAATGTTCCTTAATAAGTGGTTATTTTGGGTATGATGATCAAAGGAAAAAAAAAAGTGGTTATTTGTTTCCAAAATATTGAATTAAGAATTTCTTTTAGTTAAAATTCTAGCTTTGCTAATGCATAAAAAAAAACAAAGGAGTAATACTTATTTAAACTACAAAATGACATGAAGATAATACAATTACAAAGTCAAAAAACTTTTCATAGATATTACTTTTTAATAATTTAATTATTTGTTTTATAAGTTTGTTGTACATATTTGTCCATTCTAAAAGAGAATAATTTCAAACAATCTTTTTGGTACTCCCTCCGTTCACTATTGTTTGTCAGGGTAAGATCATGCACTATTCTTAAGAAAAATTTAATATAATGTGCAATTTGACTAATATAACCCACTATCAATCATTATTAAAATGGTTTGTATTTTTTGAAAATTATAAAATAATTTTTTTCATATTAAAGTAGTCTTGTAACTTTAAAATGGCTACTTTTTTAAACTAATAGTAATGTACTTATTAAGGACAAAATTGGAAAAAAGTGACTAATTGTTTCTTGATTGTTTAAATTGACAATTAATTTAGGACATCTATTTTTAGTATACCTAACAAATAATAGTGGACGGAGGGAGTAATTAATTGTCATCCCTTTTCACCAATGTCTTATTATGATATTATTCATTCCTAGTCCAGAGGAAAAGGATATTACTATTTTATTTTAAAGTACACAAATGACAATAAAGTCAGTACAAAGTTAAAAAACTTTTGGTTGGTAGACTTTTTACCTTTGAGATTTGTTCTCTCAAGGTTCTTGTGGCAAGAAATTGATCTTTTTTTTCTTTATCCGAACTTCGATATCTGTTTTGAGGCATATTAATCAGAATTATATAAAAAAAATTCACTTATGGGAAGAAGTTGTTCGTTTTCCCACTCAATCTCTAATACTCACTTTAGGACTAACTAATTTGAATTTGTATCGAAAAGTTTCATCTTTTCAAGGATTAAAATATATGCCCTCAAAGGTACTTGTTCTAAAAGTTGTCATTTTATGGGAAGGAGTAATTGTTCGTTTTTTTCCCACTAGCTCTCTCATACCTGCTTTAGGGTGGACAAATCTGATTTCACATCGAAAAGTTTTACTTTAAGAGGTAAATTGCTCCATATATTTCCTAGAACTCAATTTCGAAAATTTTGATTTAGGATAGAGGGGTATATTAGCCATCCAACTAGCTGTAACCTTTGGGTGTGAGGTTGTTTTATATTGTCAACATAACTCCATATATATATTATTTTTTTAAACTGAAGAAAATATACATAAAATGATGCAAACAATGTATTTATTTATTAAAAGAAAAAGAACAACAACATAATCATTAAACAAATTAAACCCATAACAATATTGTTCTATATTATTAACTAAAAATATGAAACAAATCACATGATATATCTTTTGTGTAGGCCACATATAGAGTTGTATAAATGTGCTTTTATAATTTTATAAAGCATGTTAATTTGTCTACATAAATGAAAACAAAATATCATAAACAACAAATAAATGAAAAGTGAATGACAACTTGCCTAATTAAATATGTAAAATAAAGCAACTTAAAAAATATTATTTAAAAATAAAATGGTGTAGACAACATTATAACCAAAGTACGAAATTCATGTGACAAAATGTTCACAAGAATTTAATGTTTGTTACTTTGAATTTGACCTTGTTACTATAAATAGTTATATGTACAACCAATAAAATTATGTTTTCTTTATAATAATAATGTTCGAATTAATTTATGTACACTTCAACTATTCTACATAGGTATTTCATTCATGGAACAAGAAAAAAAGGGAACAAAATATTCTGAAGTCAAATACTTTCGAATGGGCAATTGAATAAAGTGACAAATTATTTTCCGTTTTTTATATAGAATATAAGTAGTCGCAATCGTCTTGAGATCACAAGAATCATATAATTTGATATAAATTATGGTCTGCACATAATTTTCTTGAATTTTTTTCTTTGTATCAACAAATTTCGCTCATCAATTTTTTTTAAAGAAATTATTGTTGTTAGTACACCACGACATTCATCTTTTTAGGGATTAATAATATTTTTAATGATGAATCAATAATGCAAAATCTTAAGATTTTATATATTATATTATATTTTACAACAAAATGTATAATAATAAGAAATGTCTAAATTTATATATTATATTATAGGAAAAATCCTTTTTGCCAGAAAATTTGGCGCCAGAATAGTATTTTACCTATGTTATTTTACCTTTTAAAATATTTTTACCCTTTTAACTTTAATACCTTTTAACTAAAAAATGGAAAAAAGATCGATTTATTTTAAAATAAAAAAATATTATAATTTTTTTAAATTCCTGACCAAATTTTCTGGCTATTTAGCATTACCTATATTATATTTTCTTACATGAAAAAAGACAAGTAAATAATATCTAAAATAAGCTTGATCATTAGGCACTTTTGAGGTATGAACTTTTGGTCCCCAAGAGTTTTCTAGGCTTTTAATTTGCTAGCTGTTAGGTCCCCTACCCACCCCACCCCAAGAGTTTGATCAATCAAATTTGGAGTTAAGATTATTGCCACCAAAATATCTATTCAGTACGTCTTATTTTATGTGATGATATTTGAATGAGGACGACGTTTAAAAATAAAATTAACAAGTGTAAAGTCTAAAACACATCATTGATATTTATGCGTAATTATAAATCATCTCATTAAAAATAAAATAAAATTATTTGAACTAGAAAATGTTATTGCTATGAGAGTTTTTACAATTATAAGTAGAATGTGAGTTAGGCCCAAGACCTAATTTAACATGATATCAGAGCAGGGCCCATCTC